TTTCTTTCTTCCTTCCTTTCTCTTTCTTTCTTTTCTTTCTCTCTCTTCTCTCTCCTCTCTCTCTCTCTCTCTCTCTCAAGACAGTTACTCTGTGTAGCCCCAGCTGTTCTGGAACTCACACTGGAGATCAGGTTGTCCTCCAACTCAGAGATCTGCCTGCCTCTGCCTCACTAGTGAGGAAATTAAAGACATGTGCCACCACTGCCCAGCTGAGCGCAACAATTCCTAAAACGAAAAAAAATACATAAGTTCGGTAATAGAACATTCAGTGTCTAGAACTAAATTAAGATGGACACTGTAGCACAAAGCTACAATCCCAACACTCAGGAAGCTAAGAACAGTTTGGAATACAGCAAGATCAAGACCCATCCTGTTCAAAGCAAAATGAAAGTTTCCAAAAGAAAACAGTATCTGAAAAGGTAATTTCACAAGACAGGATTTTTCTTACAGTTTAAACATTGTAGAAAAAAAGTGAAAATATAAAAATATGGAAAAAAAACATTTCATAGCATGATGCACCAAGAGAAAAAGACTAAGAACACAAAAACAAAACAAACCAATAGACAAAAAACAGGCTGGAGAAATATATGAAATGTGCCCGAAATGTAAATATGCCACTACATGTTTTAAAACATTCTCATCCAAAAACTTCTTTAAAAAAGTAAATAGCTAAGCTGGGCAGTGGTGGCGCACACCTTTAATCCCAGCACTCAGGAGGCAGAGGCAGGCAGATCTCTGTGAGTTCAAGGCCAGCCTGGGCTACCAAGTGAGTTTCAGGACAGGCTCCAAAGCTACACAGAGAAACCCTGTCTCAAAAAACAAAAAACAAAACAACAAATAACAAAAAACAAAAACACACAAAAAAGTAAACAGCTTGGGCTGAGGAGATGGCAAGCCTGAGGACCTGAGTTCAGATTCCCAGCACCCACATAAAAGCCAGGTGTGGTAGAACTCACTTGTAACCCAGAACTGGGGAAAAGGGGGAAGGTGGGTAGAGATATATGATCCCAGGGGCTTGCAGGCCAGGCAGCCTAGCCAAAATGGTATGCTCCATGGTCAATGAGAGAGCCTATCAACAAAACAAAACAAAAACCGCACAGGTGGAGGCTAGAGAGGTGGCATCCCAGATAAGAGCTCTTCCAGAGAACCTGGATTCAAATTCCAACACCCACATGGTAGCTTCCAACCGTCTGTAACTCCAGTCCCAGAGGACACAGCACTTGCTTATGGTATCTGCTATCATCAGGGATGGATGTGGTGTACAAACATATGTGCAGACAAAATACCCATGCATACAAACAAATGAATGAATGAATGAATGATTAAAAATGAGGTGTGCACATACATTCACAAACAGCCTGGCAGTAGTGGCGCACACCTTTAATCCCAGCACTTGGGAGGCAGAGCCAGGCAGATCTCAGTGAGTTCGAGGCCAGCCTGGTCTACAGAGCTAGTTCCAGGACAGCCAGGGCTACACAGAGAAACCCTGACTCGAAAGAAAAGGGGGGAGGGAGGGAGGGAGGGAGAGAGAGAGAGAGAGAGAGAGAGAGAGAGAGAGAGAGAGAGAGAGAGAGAGAGATACACAGACACACAGACACACACAGACACACACACACACACACACACACACACACACGGAAGGATGGAGAGGGGAGGAGGAGGGAGAGAGGGAGAAAAAAACAGTAGTATTACAAAAGTAAATAATTAAAATGCAGAGCAACAGAGGAAGGCGTGTGACACTGACATATACACATGGACATGCATGCATGCACCAACGCGTGCGCGCAAACACACACACACACACACACACACAAACTCACGTATGTATCCATGTGCAAAACACATACACAAAGCATGCATACATATAAAATAAGCAATTTAAGCAAAAATAATGAACTCCAGTGTTCATAACACACATAAAAGTGAAATATGACAAAAAATACACAGTAGAAAATAGAAATACCAAGTGTGAAAAGGAGTTTTTTAAGAGACTACACTATGGTAAATCGAGGCACATATGTTTTGCAAAGTATATATTTAATAAGAGTCTGTTACCTAGAATTTATAAAGAGTTTTTTGAGAGACGGATAACTCAGTCAGTAAAGTGCTTATGCAAACATGAGGCCCTGAGCTTGATCCTCAAAGTCCAAGTCAAAAGTCGAACATGGTGGTGTGTGCTTACAATACCAGGGCTGAAGACAGGCAGAGCTCTTGGCTCACTGGCCAGCCAGCCTATGGTGTGCTCCTGGCTAACCAATGAGAGATCTTGTCTCAAAGAATGAGGTGAATAGCTCTTGAAAAGTGGCACCTGAGGCTGACCTCTAGACTCTACACATGTGCACGCATGTGCATGTGGTACATACACAAAGGTCTTTTGTCCTGGAGAAGTAGCAAAATCAAAACTTGTCTTGTATGTGTAAAGCTCTGAGCTCAATTCCCAGTGCAAAAATAAAAACTAAAAGAAGAGGAGAAGGAAGTCAAACAAGAGTTCTTAGGACATGCACTCTGGAGGCTGAGGCAGAAGACTGCCTGAGTCCAGAGACTTGATAACTTATATAACAATAACAACAAAAGCCAAGTAACCCATTTTTTTTTGGTGGGGAGGAGCTGAGGACCGAACCCACGGCCTTGCTCTACCACTCAGCTAAATCCCCAACCCCATAACCCACTTTTAAAATAGGCAAAAAATAAAACAAAAACAAAAACACACACAAAGACAAAACCTTGTGGAATTTCTCTACAGTAGTTCTCAGCCTGTGGGTCACGACCCCATTGGGGATCAAACGACTCTTCCCCAGGGGTCACATACCAAACATCCTGCATATCATATGTTTACATTATGATTCAAAACAGTAGCAAAATTACAGTTAAGAAGTAGCAATGAAAATAATTTCATGGTCAGGGGGTCAGTACAACATGAGGAACTGTATTAAAGGAACTGTATTAAAGGGTCACGGAATTAGGAAGGTTGAGAACCAGTGCTCTATAAGAATATGGAAATGATAACAAGCAGGTGAAAAGATTGTCCAACATTAGGAAAATGAAAATCAGAACATATACTTCACACCCAAGTAGGATGGCAATTGAAAAAAACACTGGAGTCAACCAGATACTTCAGGAGAGGGCATGCCAAGACACCCAGATGTGCTGGAGCCTCAGTGTCAAAGTACAAAACCATCCTGGGACAGAAAATAATGCTAGAAAGGATGGGGAAAAAAGGACAGGAACTCTTAACATGTTGCTGGTGGAGATAGAAAATAGTTCAGAAGTTGTGGGAAAAGTTTAACAAATCTCAAAAGGGTAAATGTAGAATTACCATATGATCATTGTAGCAACTCTTACTCATTTATATATATATAAAAGAATTGAAAATAAGCACTGAATCAAATACATGTACACATATGTTCATAGCAGTATTATTCAAAATAGTCAAAAAGGTGCAAATGGCCTAAATATTTCCAATAATTGACTGAATAAAAAATTGTACTCTATGTTAACTAAAACACTATTTAGCCATAAAACAAACTATAACTATATATGCTATATATATAGCATGCTATAACATGGATGAATCCAAAAAATATTGTGTTAAGTAAAAGAAGCCAGAATCAAAATATGAAATATCCAGAACAGGAAACACATATAGACAGAATATAGATTGGCAATTGCTGGAGAAAGAAATAGAAACTATATAACAGACAATAAGTTTTACATGGCATAATAGAAATATTCTGGAATTAGAGATTGTGAATACATAATTTTAACTGTATGATTAACACTTTTAAATGCATATTACAGAACGTAGAAGTGGACACTTATGGCTCACACACTCAGGAAGCTGAGGCAGAAGGATAGAAAGCTAGCCTGGGCTATATAGCAAGACTTTGGATAAAAAAAAAGTATATTTTAACATCTAAAGGAACCATTAAAAAATTCCTTCTATGCCAACAGAAGAAACAGAATACTAAAATTAATTAATCCGCTGGGCGGTGGTGGTGCATGCCTTTAATCCCAGCACTCAGGAGGCAGAGCCTGGTGGATCTTTGTGAGTTCGAGGTCAGCCTGGTCTACAGAGCGAGATCCAGGACAGGCACAAAGCTACACAGGGAAACCCTGTCTCAGGGGAAAAAAAATTAATTAATCCCAAGGCAAGTTTAAAAACAGATGAGACAAATAGCAAAATGGATGGTTTAAACTTAATCAAGTCAGTCTCTCTATGTAGGTGTGTAGTGTGTATGCACATACACAACACTAGTCACTTGTGGGTACTGTGCATTTGAATGATGGCATACAGATCATCAACTTTACACTGAATGCATGCTGAAATGGTAAAATATACTGGGTCAAAATACATTATACAAATGTGAATTGCTTTTTTTCACATCTTTGAAATTGCTTCAAACTTTGAAAGTATTTCAATTTCCCTAATAACAGAACTTACAACTGATAAGCAAAATAGGGGCCACAGCTCAGTGATAGAATACTTTTCTACCATGTGTGAGGCTCAGAAATCAGTATCATGCACAAATAAAAAAGGGAGGGAAGGAGAACATATAATTCCGTAATCACAGTTTGAGATTTTAACACATATTCTTCAGGTACTTGAAAAAATTAGCACAAGGAAATGAAGACTGCAGTAAATGAACCTGATCTGAAGACCTGACCTCAGGCACTATACCCATCAAGTACAGTGCACATATTCTTCTGAAGCACTCTTGTTACCATGACAGACCTTACGCTGGAGCATGGTTTTAGTATAAAGACTGAAGCTGCAGACTGTACTGCTGACCAGCATAATTATTGATGAGAAGGTAACTAAAGAGGGTCCCAGTTCCATGCATGACACAGTAAGCACACATCTCCTGTATCTCCTACTAAATTCAGCTAACACAAATGATCAGAGCACATGGAGCAGCTATTGGAGGCCTCTGAGAAATAAATAGTAGCAAGTGGGTGGGGAAAGGGACCTTAACATAGTACTGAACCAACAATGAATTTACCTTTTTATTATTCCTCCAATATCCACCAGCCGGAACTGCAGCCTGAAACCCAAAAGTGAGCATCAGTGTAGGTACAGGGCTCCAGAAAAAGCCTAATTCTAGTTCAAGTTCTGTAGGGTATCCTGAGAGAATGAAAAATCTCACATTTTTTCTTTAAATTATCTGCATTATCTCTAAACAATCCCATGATAAAGGTCACCGAAGAAACAGTGACCCACAGGAACCCAGAACTCTGAAATAAAGAGGCCTTCTCCTTTGACCAGCAGGCAGAGTCAAAGCCTCACTGCTTTCCACCACCCCAACCCCTGCCCCTCATTCCTTTAGTCATTTACTCCCAGATGCATTAACATTTTCAGGCTTAAATAAAGCCCTGCCTTTCTAGATGCAGAACTGAAATAAGTAGCCCTAAGAAACCAGATAGTATTGGCACTTAGATTGTAGGAGACACCAGGAAAGCAATCCTATAAGGGGTCACTGAACTTCAGTGTTCACCCCAAGCTGCATATGGGTGGACGTAACTCTAACAAGCTAAATACTCTCAGAACTGACATATAACACAGACCACCAGCCAGGTACCAGGGTGGCCACGAGTATCATGCAGAGTAGATCTCAATGCTGCCTGCAGAGGCTTTCTTGAGCTGGGATAAGATGGTGAGCCCACAAATCACAATCCTCTTGTCATAGCCTCCCCAAGCACCACTATGGGCATCAGAAAATATAACCATTTTTAATGAGATTAGAATAAAATGCAGGGCCCTGTAATATTAAAAATCCCAATGACTGCCGGGTGGTGGTGGCTCACGACTTTAATCTCAGTACTTGCGAGGCAGAGGTAAGCGACTCTCTTGAGTTTGAGGCCAACCTGGTCTACAAATCAAGTTCTAGGACAGCCAGGGCTATACAGAGAAAACCTGTCTCAAAAAAAAAAAAACAAAAAACAAAAAAAAACCAAAAAACAAAAAGTGCCAATGACAACTCAATTTGTATACCAAAAAGGCAAAACTTTCAGCTTGTCAGCCAAAGCCAAAATGACAGATGCTGGAATTGTGAAAACATTAATATAGCTAGAATGAAAATGCTCCAATAACTAAGGGTAAACACTCTTGAAATAAAAAGTACTAGCAAAGAAACAATAAAGAAGCAAATGAAATGTTAGAATTAAAAATAAGTAGAACTTTAAAACTCATTGTATGAACTCAATAGCAGCAGAATAAAGAGTACAAACCAATATCCTTTATGAACATATAAGCAACATCCTCAACAAAATACTGACAAAATCCAGCAATATACAGGAAGGACTATAAACCATGCCCAAGTGAGATCTATCCTAGATATGGAAAAAAATCACTGTCTTGGGAGCTAAAGAAAATTGATACCTGGCTTTACTCCTTATTGGACCTGACTGTACATCTTCCCTTTAGTTCATGAACTATGTCTGTATCCTTTAAAAGAGTTGCCCATCCTTATTTAAAAGGGGAATTAGGCAGCTTGACATTTGAAACCAGAAGCAACTGATAAGGACACATGATTCCAAAGAGCTTATAATCTAGTAAAAACATGAAATTTTAAAGTTTAGCTACAATTTAACATTTTAAAAGTGTTCTACAGGGTTTTTTTAAATGATTTATTTATTTTTCAGTGTATGTGTTTTGTCTGAATGTATGTCTGTACACCAGATGAGTACTTGGTGTGCAAGTAGGGCAGGGAGGGCATTGGATTCCCTGGAACTAGAGTTATAGATGTTGTGAGCAGCTATATGGGTGCTGGGAACTAAGCCCAGGTCCTCTGCAAGAGCAGCCAGTGCTCTTAACCTCTGGGCCATCTCTCCAGTCTCCACGTCTTTGCATTTGTTTGTTTTTTGAAACAGGGTCTCTCTATTATGTTGTTCTAGCTATCCTGTAACTTGCTATATCGACCAAGCTGGCCTTGAACTCACAGAGACCAGTTGCATCTGCTTCCAGAATGCTGGTATTAAGGGTGTGCACGTCCACACCTGGTCAGCCCCCACATCTTAACATCTATAAACATTTAGAAATCACTGGACAACGTCATGTGGGCAGTGCACACCTGACTTTGGAAAGGAAAAGGATTACTGTAGACTCAAGGCCAGAATAGGTTACAAAAGAAAAGGCGAAAAGAAAGATAATGCTGCACAAGTTAAGATTAACATGTTGCTAGCTTGATATGAAATCCACCTGTTCTTATTATAACCTTGGGAAGCCTTGCTCACTGTAGTACACATGGATTATTGGACAACTGACAAGAAAAAAAATTTTTTTTTTGGACAAGGTCTCATGTATCCCAGGTTGGCCTGGAAGTCACTATATAGCCAATGAAGACCTTAAACTCCTCTAATCTTCCTGCCCACACCTCCCCAGTTTTGGAAAATCTTATAGCAAACTTAGCCAAGTGCCAGATCTAACTTATGTTAATACAAATGAAAGAAAAGTAAAACACAAGTATTTGGCAATTAAGAAAATTAGAAATTAGAATCAAAAAATTGTTTTCTTATTTCATTCTTATGTCTTTGCAGTGGCTTTTAAGATCTTTTGTTTTCTGTACTAAGGCAGAACAGTGAAAATGTTTTTATAGAACGTTGGAAAAAAGCTATGTATTAATTTGCTTTGGGTCATTCTAGTCTCTCTGGTAAAGTCATAATTAGGAAGGCCTTTTTAGGGCTACGCTCTAGTCTCACAGGTGCAAAGCTACTCCATATCTGGAAAATCTAAATTCATATGCGAGGGGGCCACGTTTTTAAAGCATATTATTTACACAATTCACTGGAATGGCTCCTCTGGAAGCTGGGTGGCTCTCTTATGCAATTATGTACTTAGGAACCCTCCTCTGCATAACCGTGAAAATTCAAGTAAGAATAATTTACTGGTTATGCACAGTTATTAGAATTTTAAAGCATTTGTTTGTTCAAAATTCTGGTTTACCAGACAGTTATATTTGACCAATTGTGTCCTTAATCAACAATAATGAACAATGGTTTAGAAGGTACCCAGGCTTGAACTGCAATGTCCTAAAGGAGCACTGGGAGTTGCTTCCCTCCCTCCTGTTAAAGGATCTCCCTCCCTTTCTACCCAACAAGCTTTGTGGTGAAATTAACAACTGGGATTCTAAACATCTGTAGTAGAATACTGACTTCAATTACAGATGCAAAGCTTTATCTGTAAGGAACTGTGAGGAACATTTTAACAGTGAAGAAGCTGGAGAGCATAGAAATTAAGACTGTTGAATTTTGAAAGAATAAAATAAGAACTATTTTAAAAAATTAGATAAAATATTAAACATTAGCAGGCAACAGGACACCAAAGCACTATCTAGAGACTGAATGTTTCTGATACCAAAAAAGTAATTTGGGGGCTGGGGATGTAGGTCAGTCGGAAGAGTGTTTGCCTAGTATGCACGAAGCCTAGGTTCAATTCCCAGCACCACATAAACTGTGCACAGTGACACACGCCTGTACACCTGTAATCCAAAAACACAGGAGAGGGGGAGAAGGAACAGAAGCTCAAGGTCCTTTTCTATTACATGGTAAGTTCCAGGTCAGCCTGGGATACATCAGATTTTTTTTTTTTTAAGTTATTCTGCTGGCCCACCCTTTAGTCCCAGCACTCAGGAGGCAGAGACAGATGGGCAGATTTCTGTGAATTTGAGGCTAGCATAGACTACATAGAGAGTTCTAGGTCAAAGCTACATAGTGAGAGCCATCCTCCCCCACTCCTTTTGTGCACGCATGCATGCATACATATGCAACACACACTTTTTAATAGACATGTACGGAATTAAGCTTCATGAACATTATGGACAGAGGCAGGCAGTAATTTTCCTATAAGAGAACAAAAAGTCTGTTTATTTACACTTTCTTTGCCATGCTTTGGATTTCTGTATTTTTGTTTTGTTTTGTTTTTTGTCTGTTTTTTTGTTCGTTTGTTTTTCAAGACAGGGTTTCTCTGTGTAGTTTTGGTGCCTGTCCTGGATCTCGCTCTGTAGACCAGGCTGGCTTCAAACTCACAGAGATCCACCTGCCTCTGCCTCCCGAGTGCTGGGATTAAAGGTGTGTGCCACCACCACCCGGCTTGGATTCCTGTATTTTTTTAAGTGCTCATTTTCTTATTCATAGGAAACCTGCAATTACCTCAGATTAGGTTTTACAAACTCAATTGCCTATGCCTGTACTAAGGTTTTGTTTAATAACCACAAAAGATTATTTGGCCACATTGGAATTTCACTGTGTTAAATTCAAGTTTAAAAAGTCAAGTAAGGGCTGGAGAGATGGCTCAGAGGTTAAGAGCACTGACTGCTCTTCCAGAGGTCCTGAGTTCAATTCCCAGCAACCACACGGTGGCTCACAACCATCTCTAATGTGTTCTGGTTGCCCTCTTCTGGTGGGCAGGGGTATATGCAGGCAGAACACTGTATACATAATAAGAAAATAAATCTTTAAAAAAAAAAAAAAAAAAAAAAGTCAAGTAAAGGTCAAGGAAGCTACTTTTGCAGTCGTATCAATGACCACAGACTCACAGTTGAGAAAGAGTGACATAGAAGACTTTTATGCCCCCCCCCCACTCCCCCATCCACAAAAGGAACAGCCTAGACAGAAAGCCATGGAAAAGAACTCTTAAAAATTGTGATAAGAATGCTGATGGTTAACTCTCCACAGGGCTTCTGGTGGGGGTGTAGGTGGGGAAGGACTCAGTTTTCTTTTAGGGAGCTGGCTACTGGGAGTTTGACCATGCTCCAGTATTTGGGCAACACAAATTGCACTTTTTCCCCCTTCTTTTCCTCCTCCTCCTCTTTCCTTTGATGGAGTAGTTCACAATGGTGAGGGGCAGACCTGGGAGGACTGGGAGGTGAGTGTGATCTGGGTGCAATCCTATTGCAATAAGCTCCGAAGAACTATCCAAATTCTTTTATTACCCTAGGATTTATTGCATTAAATATTATTTTAAATAACTAGGCCATCAGCTGAAGCTCTTAGTAATGCAGAGTTGGCCTATATGCACGCTTCCAAAGGCCACAGTGCTCATTAGGAA